TGCCGCCGGTTTGCCACCGCTCTCGGGCTGCGGTCCGGCGAGAAACGCTCTGCTCATCACCTGCAGTGTGGGGGGAGGAGAGAAAAACATCACGTTGGAGAGAGGTTGGGACCAGCAAGGAGAAAGATGATGCAGAAACTCCGGCAGCAGGGCTGAGTCCTGGGGCGCGCTTGGGTTGGAAGAGCTGTCTCCACACCGTGGCTATGCATCCTTGCCTGCTCGGTGTTTCTAGTTGTCTCACCTACCCCAAACCTCTTTTTCTCCCCAGGTACGTCTGACCATGATGGAGAAACCCAGGTCCAAGCTCCAGGCAAAGCAATGACGCACCTGGCCCGGAGGAGAGAGGAGCTGCGTCCAGAAATGCTGAGCCAAGCATCACGCGGCCAAGGGGAAATCGGAAACCTCCTTCACCACTGCAAAGCGCAACCTTGGCAGGAGGATTTCCAGCCCGTCACCCACCCCGACCGATGTCCTCGCAGATGGCCTGGGTTTGGTGCCAGCTGGGCTGAGCCAAGGGCTCCAAGAGGCCCTCGCTCTGCAAAGAAACGGTGTGAAGGTGCTGGCAATTTCCATCGTGCTGCTGTGTACAGGTTATTAAGAAAAAAAGATGATAAATAAAGATAAATGGAGGAGAGCGGAGCACGCTGGCAACCCTTCTCCATCATTCCTTTTCTTCCCTAAGCAGATCAAATTATGACCTGAAATCACTGAATACATATTTTATTATGTGGATAATTTAAAGGATGAGGGTGAGACAGAGAATCCGTAAGGCGCAGTCACATTAGAAGACAAAGAGTTGCCATTAATCTCTGAAGGAAAAAAAAACTGAAAAGGAGAAAAGGAAAAGGGTGGTGGTGGGGGGGAAGAGTTTGTAATAGATGGTCCCCACTCCTCCTCCTTGGTCTCTTTGGGCGAGCTCGTAAACAAGCCGCCGGGCTCTGAGCAGGCCTGATTTGCATTGCAGATCCCTCTTGGCCGAGCTCTGCTCCCTTTGCCAGCCAGCAATCGGGTAAATAACACGCATTGTTCTCGCTGCTTGTTTATGCAAATGCTTTCAGCATGTTTGCTATTCCTGAATAATTTCCGAGCCGGGGTGTCACGTCGCTAGAGTGCTTGTGTTTACTCGCTCTCCCTGCGTTAGTTAGCCAGGCTTTGGTGCCCGGGTCGTACTGCCAGTGAGGACCACAGAGGGGTTCACACCGTCCTTGCTTGCAGGAAGGCTTCCGGATGGGTGTCTTTGGCCATGGAGGGGAAGAGAGAGGAACATCGGGTCCTGAGCCATTGCTACCAACCTACAGATGGAGGGCCATCAGTAGGAAACTGTCCTGGACCGATGGGTTGAAGACCCTCGTTGGAGATCTTTCCACCTCTATCTTCTGCTGGTCAGTGTCTTTCAAGGAGAAGCGCCACCAGTCCTGCAGGCAATGAGGGGTGTCCTCTGGCCTCAGGGCTCTTCCCCATCCAGCTTTGGGGAAGTCTGGTGGGAGGTGGCTCAGGTGGAGGGTGATGTGTGTCTTGGTGGGCGTGGGGGGTGGTAGGGCCAGGGCTGAGTTGGCTGCGGGTTTGGTTGTTTTTCCATCCCTCCCTCCAAGGATGGAATAGATCATTAGAGATCCTAGAAAATAGATCCTAGAAAAGAGCAAGGGACTGACGCTGGGTCCAGAGGTTCAGCTGAGGCCAGGAAGAAGATGTACCACTGTGCAAGTGGTGTGATGGGCCTGAGGTATAAAGGAAAGAAGACGGGGACAGAGGAATATTTAACCTGTTTGAGATCTGCAGGGCTCACTCATCTCTGGTCCTTGCTGCAGAATCCTGAAGTCTCTTGGAGTCACCTTTGCCCATGTAGCATCCTGCTGCAGCTCTCCTCACCACCGTGGCCAAATGCTTCTTCACCTTCAGTGAACGTCTCTTCACAACCTCCCCCCAGCGCCAGGGCTGGAGCCACGTGCACGCGGCCCCCCGACTCTGTAGGGAGGCGAGGTGTTGGGCCATCTCTCCCGCATCTCCAAACGGCAGCCAGACACCAGGCCTTCTCCTGCTTTTGGCACACCTCCGCCCATCGTCTTCGTGGCTCGCATCTGAAACGATCCCCCCCATTCAAGGTGATCCAAGAAGTGATTGGAGCCGGTTCAGGGAAGCAGACTGGCGCTGTACGTCTCACCTCGCGCTGTCTCCTGACCACCTCCTTGTCGCAGCGAGCACCAGGAACGTGGACCTCCTGTCGCTGCGCTGCCACAGCTGCCTCTGCATAGGCTCTGAAAACAGGGAAGCTCATCCTGCTCTCACAGGGTCATGAATAAGGTAGGCTGGAAGGGGCCTTGGGGGTCCCCTGGTTCATCCCCCTGCTCAAAGCCGGTTTGACCTCCAAGTCAGCTTGTGAACAGAGGAGGACCCCGAGTGACCGATGGGCTGGGGGTGGGCACATCATTTCTTTTTTTTTTTTTTTTTTACTGCAATCTTCTCCGCTAACAGGTGGACGCAAGCCACTCCTCGGGGTGCAAGCCTCTAAAAGATGGGGAAAAAAGATCACCTTAGCTTCCTGCAAATAAGGTCACTTGTTTGACGCTAGGTGCAGATGCAGCACTGAGCCGTGCGGTGGGTTCCCTGCCTCGCAGGCTGTGGCCGTGCCGCCTGCTCGGGTGCACCCATCCCCGTTTTAACTGGCATCCAGGAGAGCAGCAGCCACAAACCTTCTGCAAAATAGATGTTGTGCTCTGAGCTCTTCCCTGCCCTGACCCCTCTGCGCTTCGCCAGCAACGTAAAATCATTATTTCTCATTGCATTTAAATAGCTTGGAAATTGGCTTTTCTCTTCGGCTATCGCGCCGAGCTTGAAGCAAGGGGAGAGGGGTTAAGATGAAACGACACCTTATCTATAGCAGCTGGGATCCTTGGTGGAGGCTGCCCCATGCCTCCACCCAGGCCACCCAAAAATCCCTCCGTATGCCCCTGTGGCA